ATTATACCGATTAAAAAAAGAATTTCCAATTTAACAAGTATTATTGCTAAAGGTATTTTTGACATAGTTTAATCCTGAAAAAGGTCCTGTGCCATTGGCAATTTGATTCAGAAAAATATTCTCTAGCCAGCGCAAACCGATTCCTAAAAAAGGAAAAAAATCAGTTAAACTGTTTAAACGAAAGATCCCCGTTTTCATCAAAAGGAGTTCCTAAAAAGCATCCTTAATTTAGTTGAAACCTAATTTTAAAAAGACACCTGTTTTACGTTAATCTGATTTCTGAAAAAATGAATTTCCAGTCGGCCCGACCGACAAAAATCCCAATTTATTCTGTGCCAAATTTTAAAGAAGAAGAGTGTCAATCTGGCTGATTTCGGCAGTAAAAAAAAAAAGAGAAAAAATCTCCTCGCCGAAACCAATTTGTTTCCAAAAAAAGTTTTCCGCGTTCTAACTCGATTTCATTTTATTCAGTATTTTACTTTCAATAATAGACCATTTGGTCAACGTCCAACGAAAAAAGCTGACTGCGATTGTCGCAATTTCACGTTTCATCTTTCGGTCATCTTTAATCGTCGATGATGTTCGATCTTAACAGATCAAAGCCGTGTTAGTATTAAAATGGCATGTTAGCCGCGTATTGGAACTGTTACTAGAACATAAATACTAGTGTTAAATACTACTCATGGACCGAGCATTTAGTTTATTAGCCGAAACGAGTGGCAAAGTTGCGCTACTTGTTCAAGGATGGTATACCGTTGTTGTATATATAGGGTGTCTTCAAAATCGCGACACAAGCGGTCGAGTGTTAATTGCACATAGAAAGATGAGTGGAGAAAGAGAATAACTTTCTTCGTTCGAAGCTTCGTTTTCGAGAAAAATAAACTCGAAAGGTGCAAGGTTGTACGCGTATCAGCGACTATACGTGTTTCTTCGTTTTCCGAATAAGAAGAAAGAAAAGACAGGTACACGATGGCAACGATATGGAGTAGAAAAATGCCGCTCGTCTGCATTTAAAGTAAAATGTCGCTGATGAAGTTGCCGCGTAATTAGAATGAACGATAGATTCGAGTGACTCTGTCTCGTTAATGAGCAGACCGGTTAATTGGTATTTAAATAGGGTTGTTTGAAATTAGCAATTTTGTGGGGATATTAATCGATAGGATTACGATACAAGTATCATACATATAAAATGGAATTGATGAATATTTAATTGGCGATATTAATTACAGGATATATTACTCAAGGAAATTATAGTGTTTTCGAATTACGTGAGAAATTACACTTTTCTATAATTGGTTTTACGTATCCGACGCGTTCTTCGATTATCGAGTTTGTAATAAAATCAGTGGTGACATTGAAACGTTTATTTTATCGCAGTGCAGAAAACGCGGTATAAGTTTAGTTGTATCGGAGGAAATTCTTTTTTTACGATTTTTATTTGTGACTCGAGGTAAAGTCGTCTTAGTCCAAAGAAATCGTATAGGAAAACAATGACGCGTTTAAACGGCCTTGCAATTACTTCTGGAACCGCAATTTCTCTCGGTGTTTCTGGACTTGACGAGATTTATTTAGAGTCGAAAAAAAAAGAACTACATTAAAGTCACCAGCACGAAGTCTGCTAAATCTCACTGCTTTTTAACAAAACGATAGCTTCGTTCGATGTCAAACGATTTTCGTTCATAGGATTTGCACGCAGACGAAAATCATTTAGACACAGCTGCAGAGAACAGCTTTCGCTGTAATTACGATCCTATAAATTGAAATACTATCGTGAGATAAAAGATTTGTAGGACGTAGATCAATTCAGTTTGCAAATTTGTCTCCTTTCGTTCTTCTTTATTTATTTTTATTGGGCTTTCAGCTTTAATATTCTCTCGTTCCAAACAAATTTATAGTATTTTCTCCGTACATTTGCTAGGTAGATAGCCTGTTCTAAAGATTCAGTTTTACTCTTGTCTTATAAACCTTCAACAAACGCATTTCTCACTGTTTCCCCCTCTTTTTGTTTTTTTTAGTTATTCAGTTATTCAAATCTTTTCCATGGTTTTAAGTAAAGTGAGAAAACTTTAACCCCATGTAGTAACCCCATTGGCTGATTTATCGCGAATTTACGTACAAGCTTTTAGACATGGCATAGTTTATAGTAAACTTCCTTCACTGCTGCAAACTGTGTTTCGCCTAGATTTTTAGATTAATGGAAGCTCGAAATATCGTTCCACGAAGCTTTAAATCGTTATCTTAATTTTCCCACTTTCAGCCCTTTATTTCAATTCTGTAAAAGTCATTATGACTAAATTGCCTTAAACTTGGAGATAATAATATATCTTTAAATCAAGAATGACCTATATCGGCGAACGAATAAAATTACAATCAAATTTAACCTATTACGACTAAATTTTATTAAACTTTGAGAGAATTAACTTTTACACTTACTTCGAAGGAAATACGTATAACTATTTCTCAATTTAACAAATACGTATATTCTCACGCGTGGCGATATCACGTATAATTATCCTCATTTTCGAAATTGTATGCGAACGTTATATCTGTAAAAGCATACTTGTAAAATATAATTGGCTCGATAAATAAATCCATGGGTATAATTAGACCATCAAATCCAGGCGAAGTAAATTAATTTTCGACAAAGAACCACAAATCGCTGACCAGAAACTCCGTAAACTCGAAGGTTTTCGTATCGGTTCAACTTCTTGGCGCAGCTGTTGCTATAAATCTATTTTAACATACATACTCCGGACGTTTATTGATGAACTACAACCGCGAGCTTTTTTCCACGGAACCTCCCTTCATCGCTTCTCGTTATCGCAATATTGTTTACAACGCTTGTAACCTTGCTTTATCATTCAACTTGTTGCTGATATGTTCTTTCGCCCATCGAACTTAACTTGAGAAAATACACGTCCAGTTAAACAGAAAGAACGTCCACAGCTTTTAAACGCGATGAGAAAACATCGTGTTACATTCTGTCCAATTTGTCGATAGTTCGACTGCTAGAAACGATGCCAAGGATTAGATTCGTGAAACGTGAATGGAGCGTGTACAACAAACGAACGCTGTGCCGAATAATTCTTGCGATTAAAATCAGAATACTACGACAAAGACGGATGATAAAACATACAGCGATGAGTAAAAATGATGGTTGTACTTTAAAAGCTAAGCTTCTCAGTTGTAACCAGAACTTTATTGTTAGATTATCATTTCTTATCCTTTGTAAACTTGTAAAGTTCATCGTGTATTTATTCATTTTTTAATAATCTCGGAAATCTCAGTTAAACGTGTTCTTTTCAATTACTTTGCTTTACAGCATTAGCCACGAGCCAGTAAAATATAATAGAAAAGCTAATTGACTGAGACCTGGACGAGTAAAAGAGTATAAACGTGAGACCACAATGTGTAAAAATTATATAAAGTAATTTTATATCATTCGTACGCTTGTGTTCTTTTATCTTTCATTGAAGCTTTCTACTCTCCAACTCGTTACATTTATTAGACGAAGCTCGAACGCTTTTCTTTATTTGGTATTTTATATTACAAAGGACGTACGCGACGCGAACGAAATAACAAAGTTGTGAAAAATAACTAGAAAATGCAAGCAGTGGAATGCGTTTAATTCGTATGAAATACTGGCTGTTGTCTTGCAGTACTTATGGCTAAAAGTGTGTTTCTGTATCTCGGTGTATGATAGAACAGGCTGCTGTTGTAACAAATAAGGACATTTAAAGTTCATCGAGATCGTTTTAGCATACTTCACTGTACCCGTATCGATGAAAACTTTAACGTGGTAAAATTACGTAATATATGGTGGTTTTGAATGTACGTTTAAAAAAGTATTTAATCGTCGGTAATGTGTTAGTTGCGTCATAGTGGCGACTGACATGGATTGGCAGTGGAAAGTTGCGGTCGGTGGTTAACTCGTCGGAAGCTGGCAGACAGCCAGACGCTTCTACCGATGCTGTTCCTAGGTTAAATCGAAGATCGCGCAGTGTTCGTGGAAACGATGTTGCTTGAAACGTGACTACTAGTCTTTGTGGAGAATATTTGGGATTAAACCGTGTTCGTGATAGTCTTCGATAGATCTGCTGCCTTGAAAGAAGCGGTTGAGCCGGGAAAGAATTGCTTACCCTAGTCCTTCCAGGAATAACACAGCTGAGATCTAGACATTTGTTTGTTTTTCACATAAAATGGTCTGCGACGATTTGATTTCGATATAGCATGTAATTTCGTAAAAGTTGAAAACAAAATGAATTACTACCAGGGACAAAGAAAAATATGTGCAATTCTTTCAATTGCCTCTGACAATTCTCAGGGTAGTTGACACTCGTTAACGTTTCATTTGGAATATTTTTCAATGAATTTACGTCGTTGAATTTTGTCCTTGAACGTGGCGATCGTAAGGAGATTGCGGAGATTCTCTCGGTATCTTTTTTCCTCACAATTCTTTCTAGCGCGTTGGTTTTTCTATTTTATTTATAGTACTATGATGAAAACTATTCTTTTTTAAAGCGTAGAAATATTTCTCGTATCCGTCGTTTGTATAGTTGGTTCCTGTAAACTGTCTATTACCCTAACATACCTTTGTATCTAATGACTCTATTTATGTTGCTCAATAATTTTCAGTTTACGCAGTTGTTGCATATTTTTCCACCGTTTCATCTTTCATAAGTTAATTAAACAGAATACGGCATATTTCTCAAATTTAAATAAACCTTCGAATTCGGGTCAAAGTTTCTATCGAGATGTTATCATCGTTGTATCGATGAATTTGCATTTTTATCTGTTCGTCAAACGAATTGCCCCGATGTCGTAAGCTATTGCGTTAACAGCGTACGAGCATTTTTCACAGTGTGAAAGAGAACGGAGGCTTATTCCGATAGTAATCCGTATCTGTTCTATCGACTGTCGTTCCTTTTCTTTTTTTCTTTCTCTTATTACCGTTTGTTTTCTTGTATCGTTCAAAACATATTGCAGAGAAATTGCAGAGAAAGTGGATTTTGGATTATCGAATTTTTCTACTCAATCTTCGATATGTATCGATGGAACTCGAACTCGCGGAAATAGCGACAAAGAATAAAGCTGAAAAACATAATACGAAGAGCGCCAGAGATTGGATTTCTTTTTATAGCTCGAGATGGGATTTAAAGAAATATCGAATATCTGAAGATAAATCGCCAGATGAAGGTAGCGTAACGTAATTCATTTCTAAAAATTCCTTCGACAAATCTTCTTAGCGAACATTTTCTCCCCTCGCGTATTTCATGGATTCGCATCGTAATTTATCGGAATGTCTCTCGTAGCGCCTCGCATCAAACAAAATTTGTCATTTTCCACGTTTCTTTATATTCTGGCAAAGTTCCCAACCCTTTGCTTAAGTACGTACGATATCATACGCGCAATTTCTTTACGGATCGTCTATTGTCCATTATCTGTATTTCTATTAAAGTTTAGCCTTATTCGTAATTTTTTAAATAGAAGATTTTTTCATTCGCTCCCTCCATCCCCCTCTCGCCATCACCGCCTCTCCTGAATCCTTCGCAGCCGATATCGAGCGAAAGTTTGGAGTTGACTTCTCTTCCGTTTGCGTAAGATTTTCGAGCTTATCGATGTTAATAGAACGTAATGACGATATTAATAACCGAAGTGTAAACAATTTGTTATCGAGCAAACTCTCGGGAGTGTAAAAAGCATCAGCAGATTTATCGAGGAAATTCCCTGTAATTTACTATCCGTTTGCGCGAGATATCCGAGTTTAATCACGTTGATAGAACGATATTGATAATTGAAGTGTAAACAGTTTAAAGTTAAACAGGATCGTGTAGACGTTTCATATTCATTAAATTTATGGAGGAAATCGAGGGAGAGACGTTGGGGATTGCCTCCTTTTTAATCCCTTTCAGTAGACTCGTCGTTGCTTGTATTCGTGGCAATTTTTCGTTCATTCTGATTATGCATAACTGAATGTGTTCCATAAATATGTATGGAATTTGCAATTATAGTAAAAATAAAGAAAGTGGTTGATTTATTTAATTTTGCTTTCGACCTATAGACATTTTCGCTTTTATGCTCAGTATAGTAATCACCTTTCTTTAATAGCGTGTTATTTATTCATTTATTTATAATATATATTTACATATGTTTCTTCGATGATAGTAAGCACAGCTGCTTATGTATGGCGATCGGACAGAATGTTTCCCTTTGGCTATGTGATAATTTCTCTACGCGAACGAAATAATTTTTGATACATTGGATTGTTCGAAAAGTACGTAACATCTTTGTCAGTTAATACACTCCATATGTCTCGTGTTTGATGGGACTGGAAGATTCGTAAACTTTCATAAACTTTTGCAAAATACCTTCTTTTTCTTTGGCAGCTGCTGAGTACCGTTGAATATTAAACGCACGAACCAGAGAAAAAAAATTGGCATTGGTGCCAGTTTCCAACAAAAACGTTGTATCTTATACTTTGGTGAAAAGCGGATAATAAAAAGCGGACTATTATTTATCTTGGCTTTTACGAAATCTTTTTATAACGAGAGAGTGAGTACTTCGAAAGCTTGCAGAAATACCTTCAACGTATTAAATACCGAAAAAAAACAAGTTTTTCGCAAAAGCGGTCATGAAGCTACGTAATAAGCAATAAAAATTCCCGAGAAAAATGATGCGCGTATTATTTGATAAAGCGCGAGCTCTGCAAAGATACGTTAGCTTTAAATATTTCCTAAATTCGTTTGTGAACCTTCTCGACGATATAACGTACAAATAATTTCCGATTTTTCGTTCTAATATGTATTTTCATCTCTGTTTGTTACAGAGACCGCCACAGTTCGAAGACGTTACGTGTTCTGCTTCATTAAAAATGGTTAATATGGATATGCAAACTGAGGTGAGTAGACTTTTTGACGAAATCTTTACATCTACCATCATCGTGCTCCCAGAAGGTTACTACGTTGTAACATAGAGTCGTCCTGTATACATATATTACATAGTCACATGAACATAGTCACACATATATATTAGCAAAAATAAATATGAGAAGAAGATAAATTTACCTTACGACCGAATAGTACGAAATTCGTATGTATATTAAAAGAAATTGAAATGAATGGTATATGGAAAATATTAAATTGTAACATGATATTCGTTTCGTTTTCTCATTTATATAATAAATATAAATACAGGACGAATCTATGTTATTATATTATACAGGCTGGTTGGTAACTGATGGTACAAGCA